CCTTCACCTATTTCACTCATCCCCCCACCCTTCTCAACCCGTCGTTTTTTAAGAAGTCAGGCAAGTATGTGACTCATTTTTACAAGACTGCATTTATAATGGTTCAAATTTTAAAAATCTGCTTAGAACCGAAACTTTTTATTACTTTCCAGAAAAGTTGGATTTTATGAATGACTTCTCAAGAGTGCTTGTTCTGCTATGATCGCCTGTAAGAAGCAATGAGTTTTCCAACCCTTTGTGAAACCAGCCTCTGCCATTCAGAATAGAACAGGTCTCTTCCCAGAACTTCTGGATAATAAAGTGATCATAGCTTGCACTTGTTTTTAGGCTGGTTTCAGAGCACTTTGAGCTGTTTGTTGATTGCATTTAGCTGTCCCAGGATTCCTCTGAGGTAGACAAGGCAAGTATTTCCACAGACAAGGCCCTGGAGGTGCAGGAGGGCACATGATGGGTTTAGGGGGTCATGTGACTTGCAGGTGGCAGACCTGGGTTCTGAAGCACAGCGTTCTGACTCCTAGGCCAGTGTTCTTTGCATTCTGTCCTGAGGCTTCCTCTCCTGCCACAGCTTCCAGTGAAGGCTCACAGAGCCAAGACTTTATGAGAACAACTTTTTTTTCTGAAAACAGCTCTGTGCTCCTCTTTCAGCTGCTTCCTGCAGTGTGTTTTTTTGTCCCGTCCCCCCCCCCCCCCCCGCGCTGAAGATTTTAAAGAACATTTCAAAAATAGAAAAACAGAATAATGTTGAAAGGTAGCAGAATGCACCACCCTAGAATATGAATTTCTGGAGTGAAGATTATTTTGAGCTGACTGTTTTTTGAGAAATAGACACAGGGACATTTACATTGATAACTCCATTTGTAAGGGCTTCTCCTTCTCTGTACCTGGAAGAGAAGGTTGGCTCTAAATCACAAAAGAATCTTGTCAATGAAGATTGGGTTTGCATAAGGAATCCAACTCTACCTTTCTTAACTTGTTTACTCTGCTTTTCCTAGTAACCCCTCATAAGGCTCCCCCCTCCCCCCGTTTAGCTGGAACCTCAGGACTTGTGTTCATATAGGTTTTCCTTGGAAGTACAATATGTCTCATGGAATTCTGATTAAAACCCTTGGTGGTACTTGTAAGTCATTCAGAGCAGGTCTGTAGCCCCTCCAGACTCAGATGCCATGGTGATGCGGGAGAGGAAGACAGCAGATGTTTACGTGAGGTTAGTGTCTGCATCCAGAATCTTCCAGGGAGAGGGAATTTAAGGCTCCATCCCTCATCTCTTGAACCTAAACCAGTTCCTGGAGTCTGGGCCTGAGGCCTGTGAGGGCTCTTAACTCCTCGAGGTGATGCAGTCACAACGAAGGCCACTGTGGAAAAGAGGAGTGAAGACAGATACAGAATCCTGGTGGTGATTATTTCTCCAGATCCACTGCTTTTCCTCCTTAGCCTCTGTATCTTTCTCAACTCTAACTTGGTCACTTCTTCCCCAGTTTCTAAAAATTAACTGCCTATTCATTTTCCCCCAAGCTCACTCATTTGTTTCTTTGTGTGTTAGATGGTTTCTATTTCCTGTAATTTTTTTTTTCCCCTCATGACTCAGAGATGACGGAGTTGGGCAAGAAATATTTAAAGTACATGGGGGAGGGACTTCCCTGCTGGTCCAGTGGCTAAGACTCCGTACCTCCAGTGCGGGGGGGGGGCCCGGGTTCGATCCCTGGTCAGGGAACTAGATCCCTCATGCCACAACTAAGACCTGGTGCAGCCGAATAAAATAAATAAATAAATATGTAAGTAAATAAGGAAAGAAAGAAAGAAAGGAAGGAAGAAAGAGAAAGAAAGAACATGGGGAAACATGGAGGAGAAACTAGAAAGAAAGAACATGGGGAAACATGGAGGAGAAACTGTACCTACTGGGGAAGTTCTACCATCAAACTGTGTAAGAAATACCCCTAAGAAGTAAGAGGTGGGGTTAAATGTGAGGTGCTTTCAGGAGGCTGAATACGAAGGACTCCACCCAGAAATATTTGCCTGAGAGAGTCTTGTGAAACGTCGAACAATGGGACTTTGTCGTATTATATTGGGTTGTTTTAAAATTCCTTTATGGTTTTGCAGTTGTGAAGAATTCTTGTGAAGGAATAAGAACTGTATTCTCAGTTGGTTCGTGGAAAGAATATTCACTGGGTCATAAGTTGGTGCCAAAGATGAAGGGTTTATTGGAGCAATTTTTGACCTTGTTCCTGCTTATCCAGAAAGTTTTCATTTGGTTAGTTTCAGGTTTGATGATGAATATTGTTTCAGTTGTTTTATTTCTCACTAGTTGAGGGTTAGGCTCAGGAACAGACAGCAGTTTGGAAGCTTTGGGCCATGGACTGGCATTACTCTTTTTTTTTTTTTTTTTTAAAAGATTTATTTATTTATTTAATTCATTTAATATTTTTGCTGCATCGGGTCTTAGTTGCGGCATGTGGGATCTTCGTTGTGGTGTGTGGGCTTCTCTCTAGTTGTGGCGTACGGGTTTTCTCTAGTTGTGGAGCACAGGCTCCAGGGTGCGTGGGCTTTGTAGTTGTGGCGTGCGGGTTCCAGAGCACACGGCCTCTAGTTGAGGTGCACGAGCTCAGTAGTTGTGGCACGTGGGCTTAGTTGCCCCGCGGCATGTGGGATCTTAGTTCCCTAACCAGGGATTGAACCTGTGCCCCCTGCATTGTAAGGCGGATTCTTTACCACTGGACCACCAGGAAAGTCCCTGGCATTACTCCTTAATGAGACTGTTTGCTCAATTGAGTTATTAAAGACGGTCTCGGTGAAAAAATCATGACGCTTAGGCAGTAGTGATCTGCCTTTATTTTGTACTCTTTTTTGCTGAATTTGTTGCATCTGTCGGTATTCTCTTTGGTGGGTTTCTGACATTAGGCTCAAACGGAGAGCTGAGTAACAGGGAACGGTGATTCCCAAAGATAATTATAAGTTTTAGGTAAGTTTGGGACGGCAAGTGTTACCACTGGGCTACTGGTGGAGAGTCCCAGGTTTGTAGGTTGCAGCACCGGGCTGCCCTTGGCCATACCCGGGCTGGGACTGCCCGTGTGTACAGTTTGACATTCTTGCTTCTCTGTGTAAGCCTCCAGATTTCCATCTCAGTAAATTCTAAACAGTGTGTTTTACCATCTACTGTATGAGGGACTCTTCCATGAACTCTTAATGCCTCTAGGGGTGAATGAAGGGGCATGCTGAAAATGTAACAGTGAGCCTTTGTGTCCTTGAGAGCTGATTATCTTGTTCTGATCTGATGATTTTACTCATCATGATTGTTCAACTAAACAGTGTTGCCTTACTTGTCTGTAGTAGATGAAACCTTCCGTGACGTCATGGAAGGCGAGGCAGCTGGTGCAGCCTGTGAACATGTGTGTAGAGCAAGATAGGAGGGTTGGGGTTTGATGTCACACCGATTTGAGGGACGGGGACAGCTTTCAGTCCTGATTGGGTACTAGTTGGTTGAGCACAAAATGCATGTTAGTTTTTTTTTGTTTGTTTTTTTTTTGCGGTACGCGGGCCTCTCACTGCTGTGGCCTCTCCCGTTGCAGAGCACAGGCTCCGGACGCGCAGGCTCAGCGGCCATGGCTCACGGGCCCAGCCGCTCCGCGGCATGTGGGATCCTCCCGGACCGGGGCACGAACCCGCATCCCCTGCATCGGCAGGCGGACTCTCAACCACTGCGCCACCAGGGAAGCCCTGCATGTTAGTTTTGTTTCGCGTTTGGAGTTTTGGAGTCTCCATCCCTTCCTCTTGTGTGTGGGTTCTTCAGCTTCAGACGGACAGAAGAGAGCTATCAAATTCAACCTGTCATTTGTTTACCATGTCTGTGTCAGTAAGGAGGGACTGCCTAAAAGGAAAAGCCGAGTTCCAGAAAGATTTCCAAACTTTTGGCACTTTGTCTTTTGAGAAGTCTGTGGAGGAAAGGATGTGGAGGGCGGAGGTGTTTACTTTTGGTGACTTGGATTTGTGTTGAGTGTTTGGTTTTCCTTGATGGGGGAGAAGGGTAACTTTGGAGGGGTGAGTAGAGGGAGGAAGTAGGTTACCGGGTGGAGCAGCCATTTGGCAGGGTGGGCAAGTGTTGCTGTTGTGCCTTTAGTTTTGGGAAAGAAAATTGCTTTCACTAAGTCTTTCTCAGGAGGTAAGCATCAATGCCTCTGAACTTATTGGTTTTAGGATTTTAATTTTGGCCTTGGGGAATAGATGATTGGTAACATTTCTTCCAAACCAGCAGCTGCAGTGTATGGCGGATGGAGAACCATGGATGACATCACTTTTTAGCTTGGCTTCTGTCCTGTTTAATTTTTGATTCCAAGGAACATCCCAGCTTCTAGTGGGTAGAGACATATTCACACAGCGCCCCCTGGGGCTGAGAGCCTGCGAACCTCCCAAGCTTTTGTTTCTTTGTGATGCTCCCTCAGAAGCTGGGCTCCATTTTCTTGATCTTTGGACATGTGGAGTTTGGGTTGGGAAAGAGTGGATGTGTTTATGCCAGTGTCTCATTTCATAAAGGCTCTTAAAACAGAAGATGATGGCAAGAGCATGTCTCCTGTACATGAACCATCTTGACTTTCTGTTGGGCTGGGACGTTGAGAGTACAGGGGGCAGGGGCAGGCTGCCAGCAGGGCTTGTTCATATGGAAGCAAATTTCTTACCCTTCCTCAGCTTATCTTCAGCTAAGACTTACTTGGTATTTTGCCAAATGTTTTCTAAAGCACCGGTTGTAATATTTACTGAGCATCCACAGTGTACGAAGCACAATGCACCAAGGCTTTTTTGTCTTTGTAAAATTTTTGCTTAAGGTTAAATCTGTTGTCTGCTTGTGTTATAGAAGGTAGTGGATATGTGGATTTTCCTTTTAGATTAACCATGAATGTTGCATTTTGTCAAAATGCCTTTTTAACAAGTAATAATAAAAGCAAAGTTTGTGTTAAGAAAAACTGGTTTGGCTTGTATTTCTAATTAAGGCTTTTTTTCTTTACTTTTAGGAGAGCACCAGAGTAGTTCAGCCCATAATTTTGGGGAAAATTATTGGTTATTTTGAAAACTACAATCCCACTGATTCTGCTGCTTTGTACAAAGCCTACGGCTATGCCGGAGTGCTGAGTGCCTGCACGCTCGTTTTGGCCATTCTGCACCACTTATACTTCTATCATGTTCAGTGTGCGGGGATGAGGTTAAGAGTAGCCATGTGCCATATGATTTACCGCAAGGTAAGTGTCATTCGGAACCAAAGTGTGTACCTTTCCTGAACTATCAGAAGCCTTTTGGGGAAGTTCTCTGTAAAGTAAAAACTTTATAACTAGTAAAAATTGTGAATCACTACATTGTACGCGTGTGACTTATATAATATTGCACATCAAGTATACTTCAGTAAAAAAGTAAGAAAAACACATTGTACCCGGGAAAAAAAATTTTTTTCTTAATGACCGTACTCATTTACACCGTACTACAGAGGCTTGCTATTTGCATCAAGCCAATTTTGTTGTTTAAGCAAACCTTACAAGAATATAATGAAAAGATTTCTCTCAGGTCAGGGCTGATTTTGATAACTTTCACTCACAGTCCACTGCATGGTATGCAGTAAATTTGTAATGAAGTCTATAAGCACCCGTGTTATCAAGTTGATTTTTACTGTTTTCATGCCTAAATCTCATAGTGGTATTTATGGAGGCTGTTGTTGTTCATGAAAACCTTTATTTACACAAAATTGTATGTAATAGTAAGCTTCAGTGATTGGATCTATAAAATTAAATCTAGGAGAAAAGAGTGTATTTGAGAAAGGGAATGTTTATATTTTTAAGTGACCCATCTAATCATATTCATTGTAGTTATGTTAACTAACGAGAAATGTCAGTGGAGCCCATGCTACACACAGACTCACTCACTGTGTTGCAGAGCTGTGATTGTTCATAACAGCATTAAAGAAAATAGGTGTTTGGGATAAAAGTTGAAATTTTTCATTGTTTTTAGTAATTTTGGGGAGAATTTGTTACCGTTCATTCAAAGTCTTTTTCTTAATACATTTCCCTTTTTTCTTTAGTATGTATTATAGCAGTTTTAATAAGACCTGGTTTGATGTTTTCAGCGCTTTTGTATTGAGAAATGCCCATAGAATTATTCCATAGATTACCCTGGTCTTAACTAGTATAAAAGGAGTAAGGATTTCAGGTGTCTTTACAAAGGAATTGCCACAGATACACCAGTGTCAGGAGCTGAAGGGCTCTTTATAAACTTGATCCTGGATATCTCTTGTACCTATTTACTTTTTAAAGAATTTTCATTTGACTGTATTGTATACTTGAAATTTACTGAGATAGCAGATACACACACAAAGGACAACTACATAATGGACATGTTAAGTGGTTTTACTACAGTAATTATTTCCCACTGTATATTTATATCAAAGCAACATGTTATACACCTTAAATGTATACACTTTTTATTAAAAAACAATTAAAATCGTCCTTGAAAGCCAAAACCAAACAATTTAAATTGACATTTTTCACTTCTTTTACCTAGTTGCTACTTATTTAGACCTTCTCTTTCTTGGCAGAACTTTTCCTGGCAAAATGGAAGATGTGTCATCATCTTTTCTTTATTTTATTTATTTATTTTTTTTTTGCGGTACGCGGGCCTCTCAGTGTTGTGGCCTCTCCCGTTGCGGAGCACAGGCTCTGGACGCGCAGGCTCAGCGGCCATGGCTCACGGGCCCAGCCGCTCCGCGGCATGTGGGATCTTCCCGGACCGGGGCACGAACCCACGTCCCCTGCATTGGCAGGCGGACTCTCAACCACTGCGCCACCAGCGAAGCCCTCATCATCTTTTCTTGAGCAGAGTCTTGTGAATCTCGGGGGTCTGTGAACCCAGGGACCTGGCATCTCACTGTCTGTGTTTGGCTACAGCATCTGAGCCGGTTTCCTCCTGGGTGACGTGGAAATGGTAGTGGTGCCCGTACACTCTAGTCAGGGGTCTTCCTTGTCGTTCATCATCATCTTTGTTATTCTGTTGCGCCTTCTACTACTTAGGAGATGGGTACTCAGCTTCCCACAGATTAGCTAGGTGCTTGTCTCTCCAGATCATGCTTAGCTCCCATAAATAAATAGGAAATTTCACCAGAAGTGCACTGTGAAAACCTTTCGTTAGGTCTGATGGTTCAGTCAAACAGATCGCTCTTTGCTGCACAGGTGAGCCATTGTCTACCAGTTTTTCTTCCTCTTCCCACTGACACTTGGCGTTGCCGTTGGGAAATCTGATATAACCTGGCACATTTGCTTAGATGAATGTAAACATGTCCCAAAGCCATTAATTTGCTGGCTTGATTAGGGTAAGAGAATTGTTCTTTAGGAAGTCAGCTATTGTTGGGATTATACCGTAGATGTGACCTGAAATTCCAGAAACGTGGGAAAGACCAGTTTCCTCAGGCACAGCCTTACATCTAGGAACCTTTTTAGGAGTAGAAATATGACACTGCTTAGCAGGTTACAGGTGGGCTAGTTCCTTAGGGGAAAAGCTGGTACTGCACAGCAGCTCTGAAAAGCCCCTGTGATCTTTGGGGTTTATGCCCCCCCCCCCCCCCCCCCCCCGCTAATCCCTGGTCCTGGGGAGAAATCAGGTTGGGTGTTAGAAATGGAATGGCTGCTAAGTCACAGTTGTAACTTTGAATGATCTTGTGGGATGTAACATATGTAAGAATGACTTGTCGTTTATCTACCTTTCAACTGCTTTGGTAAAATTACTTTTGATCACTGCTTTTTATAAAAATTGTAGTAAATTGTACACAACATCAAATTGTCCATTTTAACTCTTTTTAAGTGCGCTGTTCAGTGACATCAGGCACGTTCACATTGTTGGACAGCCATCATCGCTGTTCGCCTCCAGAACTTTTTCATCTTCCCAAACTGAACCTCTCTCCCCACCCCCTCTCCCCTCAGCCGTCACCCTTCTACTTCTCTCTATGAATTTGACCGCTCTAGGTGCCTCACAGAAGTGGAATCATAAATGTTTGTCACTTTGTGCCTGGCTTACGTCATGTAGCACAGTGTCTTCAAGGTTCATCCATGCTGTCGCAGGTGCCAGCATTTAATTCCTTTTTAAGGCTGAATAATACTCCATTATAGGTTTTGTGTATCCATTCATCTGTCAGTGGACATTTGGGTTGTTTCTACCTTTTGGCTATTGTGAATAATGCTGCTGTGAGCATGGGTGTTCAAATATGTGTTCAAGCCTGTGCTTTCAGTTCTTTTGAGTACATCCCCAGGAAGTTGAATTGCTGTATTATATGCTGATTTTATGTTTAGCATTCTGAGGAACTTCCATACTCTTCCACTGTGGCTGCATCATTTTACATTCACACTTGATCATTGCTTTTTCTGTTTAACTTGAGGACTAAATGAGAGGTTTTTATGAACCGTGACGCTTTGTTTGGATCAGTGGCTCCAGTTGTTGGTTTGTAGAAACAGCTCATGATGGTCTCTTCAGGTTCCTCAAATCCCTAGAGCATTTTTTCGAACTTCTTACCAAATAAAGGGATTGTGGAACGCGGGCTCTGTTTTGTGTAAAGTCAGCAGACTGGCATTACAAACACAGGTTCCTCAAAGCAGTAGTGTTTTAAACATTATATTCACTCATTTTGGGAAATCGCCCCCAGTCCCTGCTGACATTCCCAGCGAGACCAGTGTCTTAATTCCTGTCTTTCTTTGTTCTTGGTTGGGACAGAGAAGAAGGAGAACTCATCCGGCTTCAAATCTCAAAGGGTAACTTCCCCAGCTCAGAGCATGGGAGGTGGGCCCGGGCTGGGGGAAGATGGTAACTTCAAGCCAGCTGAGCCTGGATTGAAGACAGCTGTTGATCTCCAACCCCAGTCAGTAGTGAGAATGTATCTCCCAGTTTCCAGTCCTGCCCTTGTCTTCGTGCCTGAATGTTACAGGTGTTCTGACCTGGGGCAGACAGCATGACAGTCTCTCTAAGCAGGTTGATCTTGTCATATGGCACAGAGATTTTACGTATTATCAAATGCATAGGGCACAGATAGTTTTCCTTAAGAGGCTCCTTAATAGCCTAGTGGACTGTAGGTTTCCTGACTTTGTGTGCAGTTTCTAGAGCTGCGGCCGTTCCCCATGGTGGGTCCTGACGATGGATGGTTTGCTCTGAACGCCAGGTAAAGCCAGAGCAGACAGTCATTGAGCTCACGGAGCGCCCTCTGCTGCTTGTTTACCCAGTGCAGGCTTTCTTGCAGAATCTAATTAGTTCGAGCAGATTTCTTACTGTGGCTGAAATCATCACTCTCTTTACTGTTACCCAAAGGGTAGTTTGCAGGAGAGATTCGTCATTCTTTGTTTCAGCTTCTAAGATGAGTTGACTCCCTGCAAACACCCTAGTTTCCCTTTATCCTTTATTGTAGATCTGTCCTACAAGCATTTATGTACAGTTAATCCTGGATATTTGTAGATTTTGTGTTTGCGAATTCGCCTACTTGCTAAAATTTATTTGTAATTCTAAAAATCAATACTTGGGGCTCTTTCTTGGTCTTCTGCGGGTGTGCACATAGTCTCTTAAAGTTTTTTGTCATCTGACGTGCGTATTCCCAGCTGGGGTGAAAACAACATGTGCCTGTTCTCATACTGGGAACAGATGCCCTCTCTGTGGTCAACTTAGTGCCTTGCTTCCCACATTTTTGTATTTTTTGGGGGGTGATTTTGCAGTTTAAAATGGCCCCTAAAGAGGGCTGAAGTGCTGTCTGGTGTTCCTTAGCTGAGGAAGACTGTCGTGTGTCTTATGGAGAAAATCTGTGTGTAGGTGAGGAAGCTTGGTTCAGGTGTGCGTTACAGTGCTGCTGGCTGTGAGGCCAATGTTAATGAATTTACAACAGCGATTACATAAGGTTAAGTAGAAACATACGTAAAACAAGGTTATGTAAGTATTGAGATGGTGAAGATGTTGTTACCAAAGGCTGCCAGAACCCTAGCCCTGTACTTCCCTCAGGAGCAGTGAATATTCACTAGTTGACATTCATAGTGACTGTAGAACATGAACATTGTCAGTAGTGAGAATCGACTACTGACTCACGGAGGTTGTTTCTATAGATCAACATCCTGCCTAGAGAAATATTCTTACTTACCTTAGATCTATTTTCAGTCATCTAAGTGATGTAGTTGTATGTTCAGTTTGTCGGGGGACACACATGCTCGCTGTATCCACACTATTTCTATTT